GTGTGGCAGTTTCTGTTTTATGGATCATTCTGCCTTCTCTATTAAGAATGTACTGGAAAAGGGCAAGACTGGAAACTAGAGGCTTTTGCAGTCTTCTAGGCAAATTCTATGAAAGATGGTTCTGGTTGGACAAGAATGATAATAATGGAGATGGAGAAGAGGATTTGGCATCTGTTTTCTGGTTACACCTACTGGACTTGTGATGGAAAGAATGTGAGGATGAGGAAAGAATCCTATGTGACAGTCATTACTACCTACCCATGAAAAACTAATCAGCCAAGGCAGAAATGTTAACAAGCCTGCCAGTGGCTGAAGGAACTTGAGATGCCCAGCTGAAGAACAGGCAATAGGGACTGGAAGAATGATAATACAGCCAAGAACATGTGTCCTGGTTCTGTACCCTGGCTCTGCAAGTCACTGGTTCTGAGCTCAGTTTCCTCACCTTCACAATAGTTACCTGCTTCAAATGGTTGCTCTGAGAAAGGAGATAATGTATTTAATACAGTATCTAGCATATAGTAAGCCTTAGAAGTGCAGCTTAAAGAGAAGTCTGAAGGCTTGCATATAAATGAAGACTAGAACCTACTTTGTACATGATATGAGGGGGTCCCAAGCCCAACGTGTATAAATTATTGAGTATAAGGTATAATCAAAAGCTTCTTTAGAAATGAACTTCACATTACTCAGACTGGGATAAAAAGGGTTCCTGCTACAGGTGGCAGATGCTTCTCATTAAAGCTGTAGCTCTGTGCACCAAGCTTAACCATTCCAAAACCTAGGGAGAGAATATGCCCAAACCCAAGCCTTTCTACTTCCTCCCTAAGGTACTGGAGCAGGTTGGGAAGGGAAATAAAGCCAAACTTCTAGGCTCTAGTCTGAGTATCACACCGCTCCCTCAGCCAACCACCAATCTCCCTCAGTTAACACTGTGGGGCCAATACCTCCCTTGGTTAGCTTACTGGGTTGTGGAGAGTTGGATGAGATGACACAGCAGGTAAATCAAAGTGCTTAGAAAACTCTAAAGCACTATACAAAATATAAAAGGTTTAAAATATATACTTCACCAATGTGCTGTAGTTCATTGGTTTTTTTTTTTCAAAATTAAACAGAGGATTCCTGACCTCACATTTCGTATTTCACTTTTATCAAATTACTGTAGAGCGACATTCAGGTGAAAGAGAGAGGGAGCAAGAAAGAAAACATGGCGGTGGAGGGAAAGGGTGGTTTTAAAGTTACTTGTGAAGGGGAAAATCATGATCATCAAAATTAACCCTGGCAATCCCTAAGGAGAGCAATAGGTTGAACTGGCCCAGCAAAGAGTTTCCCCCTCCACCGCTGCAACAGATGGCTGTTTCTTCAGCTGAGCAATATATGAAGCAGCTCTCTTGAATGCAAGGCTCATGTTGTACAAAAGGCACTTAGCTACAACAGGCACAACAAAATGCTCACACAATGAGACACTCGGGAACAAGACCAACTAAGAGCCTACAGGTTTTCATCTCCACCTCTCTCTGGGGAACACCCTTGAATGGAATGGAAGATTACTTAACCTCCACTGCCCATATGGTTCAATTTTCATAAGCTGAGTGGGTGTATGAGGCCATGTCAATGTATGCAAATTTAAAACCATGCCCAGCCAGGGCTTACCCTTCTGGCATCCAGTGTCTGGTTATCTGTCAGGGAAGCCTGTGGGGTACTGGGTGAGAAGAAGGACCTGGCAGCCAAGAGCTACTGTCTAAGGTCCTGCAATCCTGGACAAGGCACCTATCATAACACAGGCATTTGGAGGGATTCTAGTGGGCTTTTCCCAGTCCCAACCTCTAGGATCTATGCAGAAATCACACCCTGCAAAACCAAGGGAGGTGGGAAGGTGTTGTAGCCAAGTGTGAAAGCAGTGACCATAAAAAACTAAGTTCAGAAAGCAAAGAGGTTAGTACACTCATTTTAGTTAACCCAATTAAAATCTTTCTGCTTCCACTCTTAGCACTCTGCACTCCTCTCACTGTGTAGGGGTACAGATCAGATCTTGCCATCCCTCTTTTTCAAACTCTTTACTCATTCATTCATTCAACAAATATTTACTGAATGCCTACTTCATATCAGACACTTTTGCAATGGTTTCTCTTTACAATGAATAAAATCCAAAGCTACATTTCTCCAACTCACCATCCTTAATAGCTTCCCTTGCACACTAAGGCCTTTATTTATTTATTTATTTATTTATCTCAACATGCCAAGCTTGGTCCTGCCACAGTGCCTTTGTACTCACTGTCTCCTCCATCTCCTGCCTGTGACACATGCTGTAGGGTTGGTTCCTGCCATCATCTGTCTCAAATGCCCTCTCAGAGAAGTCTTCCCTGATCACCTCTCCAGACACCCTTTATCACATCATACAATCTCCCTCCTGGTATTTACTGCTATCTGAAATTGTCTTTATTATCTGCTCCTTAATGGCCTTCTCCCTGACTAGAACAGAAGCTCCTCAAGGACACGGGCTATGCCTACCTTGTTCACTCTTCACAATGGGACATAGCAGGCTTGTCGTATAAACAGATAAAGGGTTTTGGGAAACCCACTGTAAGGCACCTCGAAGCCTATTCATGTTTTCTAAACCAGCGGTCGCCAACCTTTCGGACCTCGCGGACCACCAGTTGGTGACCGCTGATCTAACCATGCCAAGTGCTCCTGTAATTCCTCTAGACAGCAGCTGACATTGCTTTATCTGACCACCATTGCATGTATGAAGCACTCTTCACTGGCCGGGCATCACGACGTTAGAATTAAGTAGTTGTTAAAAACTGTAGGTAGCCCAAGTGGCTGACAACAGGCTGAGATGCAATACACCATCATGCTGGCTGCTACAGGTCCCCCACTTTGCCCCAGTTCATAGCAACCTGGTAGGGGTGTTACTCTGGTGAGAAGTTTTCCACAGGAGTCTGGCCTGACTCAGCCTCTCTCTTCTGACAGTGTCTATGGCAGTCTCTTGGTTAAATGAATTGACTCAGCACCGTTCCGACTGAAACCAAAATCTGCGGAGATTGGATGGCCTCCTCTATCAAGACCCCACTACTTTAAGTGTAAATGGTAACTTGTGGTAGGTTACTTTAGTCAGATCCCCTACATCCCTTTTCTTCGTTCCCACCCAGCAATCACACAAAGATGACACCTTGGGTTACCAGAGGAACATCATCCTGGAATGATGGACTTCCCTCACCCTGTGCATTTTTTTAAAATATATTTTTTTATTGATTTCAGAGAGAGAGGGAGAGAGACAGAAACATCAATGATGAGAGAGAATCATTGATTGGCTGCCTCCTGCACACCCCACATTGGGGATCAAGCCTGCAACCCAGGCAGGTGCCCCCGACCAGAATCGAACCCGGGACCCTCCAGTCCGAAGGCCAACGCTCTATCCACTGAGCCAAACCAGCTAGGGTACCCTGTGCATTTTGGGTCATCAACCCTCTTCTAACAGCGCTGCTGCTGTGTGGCCTGAAACAGCCAGAGGATCTCAGGACGCAGGCTAGCAGGCCTGTTTACTGCCTCCGTCAGAGCTCACCCTTACCTGGGAGACCTCCTTGGCCAACCTCACTGGCGGGCACTCTGGGTCCACTTCACTGTCACCCCCAAATCCTGCACTTCCAAGAATCTCATTCTCCGGGGCCTTCACCAGCCAGTCCCCACCCCTCCTCCTCAGGAAGGCCAGTCTGAGTCCATCCCTGATGCCCAGCTGTGGGACGTTAGGTCTGAAACTGGCCTTTAGGGTTTCATCCCCAGGCCCACACCAGGTGTGCAGCGCGGGGAATCCAGTCTCAGAACAAGTGCTGCTCCCCTTAACCTACCAGGGACGGGGGAACTCCCCTCCCCCAAAGCGGAGCCCCCTCACTCCCCAAGCAGCCACCCAGTAACCCCCATCATCTCACGGGTCCCCCTCGCTCCCTGCCCATCCGGCCTACGGGGAACTTCGGACCTGAACCCACACGTCTGCTACCCATGTCCACAGGAGGGGGAAGGAGTGCCAGGCTCCACGGAAACGGACACTTCTGGGGGCTGCTTCCCTCACCCAATCAGAGGAGGAGGTGCTTTTCCTCCCCAAGAAACATCTCCGAGACCTGGCCGTTTCCCTCTCTCACCCACTCTGCATGGGCCTCCCTCAGCTGACCCCCACCCACCCAGACGCCCCTGGCGCTCCCAATGCACCTATTTTGCACCCAACATAGCAAGTGTCCAGCTAGTGCCCATCGGAGCCGCCTCCTAAAGTCTAATACCGTGTCCTCGAGCAGGGCTGGCAATGACGGCGTCCTTTCCCGTCGCACCGACCAGCACCCTCGGGAATCCAAGCTCTCCCCCACTTACCGCCCTAAATCCCCCAGAAGGCTCCCCTTTTCTAATTGAAAGAGAGATTTCCTCGGCGAGCCCCATCCCAGAAACTGGCGCTGGAGCCGTCCCCGTGGCCGCTGGGAGACCCGTTCAGTTCCCCCCAGGTCCCCGTTTCCTCCGCCCATCCATCCCGACCGGCTGCCCTGACGTCCCGGCCACACGGACATCCCAAGGCTGCCCTCGGCCCCGGACCCACGGCACTCAGTAAAGGACTCCCATCCGCTTCGGGGAGCCTCTCCTCCCCTAGCGGACCCCTCGATCTCCCCCCAAAAAGCCGCCGGCCCCGGCTTCTCGGAAGTGCCCCTGGGCTCCCCATTCGCCCGCTCCGGCCGCTCAGCAGCGCCACAGGGCCCAGCCCTGCCTCTCCGCGGGGCCCTCACGCCGCCCCGGGGAGCTTCTGGGCCTCACCGCGCCGCCCACAGGCCCCTCCGGCCCCCGCCCGTGCTTCCGGCCGCCGCCTGCTCCTCCTCCCGACTCAGGCCGGCCGGTCCCCGCCGCGGAGCCCGGCGGACAGATCCAGCGCAGAGGCCCGGGTCGCACCGCAATGGCCTTGGCGAGCCCCTGAACCCCGGCCCCAGCCCGCGGCCCCTCAGCCGGCCGGGCCCGGCGCCCCTGCTCACCCGAGCCCGTGGTGGCTGCCATCTTGCGTCGCTGTCGCTCGAAGGCCGGCCCCTTCTTCACCCCCCGCCCGTCCCCGGGCGCTTCTGCGCAGGCGCGAGCGAACGCGCAGCCGCCGCCGCTGACGCCGGCTCTGCGGACCCCGCGCGCGACGCGGGCAGGTCCCCCGCCGTGGGAGAGAGGGGACCGGAGGTGCGTGCGCGGTGGCCCCACAACCGGCGGGTTCCCCCGGGCTCGGTGCGAGGCAGGTATTGAGGTGCCCGGTGAGAAGGGCAGGGTGATCAGTTGGGAAGGCGCGATTGTAAAAGAAAAAGAAGAAACGAAAGCTGCAAAAAAAAGCGCCTTTTCGCTCCGGGCCCTTGGCTATGTGATTGCATCCTCTCAGCCTCTCTACCAGGTGGGGATGAATGTGAAAAATGTAGCGGAGAGGGGTTAAGCGATTTATCTAAGCTCAGCTGTTTAGTAAGTGAGTCAGAGTTTGAACCCAGGCCAGGTCGTCTTGCTTCCAAAGTAGGTGCTCCTCCCGCGCCAGAGGAGGCTTGTAGGGGGTGCAGCTAAGTGATTGAAGGGCATTAAGGTGGCAATTCATTCATTCATTCATTCATTCATCCAAACAAATAATTAAATAAGCACCTACTACTGTCCTTGGTGCTGGGATTGGATATACATCCCTGAAGAAGCAAGTCCCTGCTCTTATGGGCTTACATTCTAGACAGGGACAGTAAGTAAATAGGAAAGGACATAATTACGATAGGATAGAGAGTACACCAGGGAAGGGGCAGCAGGGTGGTCAGAGAGACTCCTAAGGTGGTCACATTTCCAGGGAACTTGAGTGATGAGGAGGCAGAGAAAACAGTTTGTTTGCAGGCCCTGACGACATATCTCCACCATTACTGTCAATGTTCTGAGAAGGCTTATGTGGTTGTGAAAACAGGATGTGAGAAGTGAAGGGATTGCTTCAAGGTCACACAGCTAAACCCTGGCAGGGGAAGTACAGAGGAACAAGAAAGCCCTAAGTCCTTACTCAGCACGTCCAATTCATCACCTTGTTCTGACAGCAATGCTTCCCGAGCATTTCTCAACCCCATCCACGGTTCCTGCTTAGGGTAGGCTGCCCTTGTCTTCCACTTGCGTGACCTCAGCAGTTTTTATTCCTGCCTCTGTGGTCTGTTCTCTGTATGGCAACAGAGTCTGCTCAGAAACCCTTCTGCTAAGACTTTCAGTGATTCACTACTCCCTTGGGATAAAAATACAGACCCTACAAATGGAATGACCATAGAATTATCCAACAAGGACAATCTTCAGAATGAAAGGGGGCCTAGTATAGTCTTGTCAGGACAACAAGAATAAACCAGGATTCTCCGAGGCAAACCAGGTGGGATGGCTACCCTATCCACAGCCCTGCACACAGGACCAGGACGGGGCCAATGAGGTGTCTAAGGCCCCAAATGTAAGGAGGCTTTCACTCTGAGGTCCTAGCTCTGCACTTGCATGACCCTGTGAGTGGGTGCCTTCCTAACATTGGTACCCTGGGAACCTCGCTTTCCCCCCTACATGGCACTGCCTGCACCTCTGAGACTTGCTGTATCTCTCCTGTTACACTGGCCCTTTTCAAGGCCTCTGGAACACATGTCCTCTCCCTCCTCAGGGCCTTGGTCTCTGCTGTTCCCACTTCTCAGGTCTCACAGCCAGCATTGCCCTGTGAACTTGATTCTCAGAGTGCCATGTGTATGTCCTTCCCAGCACTGGCCACACACAATTATCTTGACACTAAAGGCCCAGTGCATGAAATTCGTGCACAGGTAGGGTCCCTAGCAGCTGCCGGCTGCTGGCCGGGGCCTTCCTTCGGTCCACGCCGCCTCCTGGTGGTCAGCACACGTCATAACGAGCAATGGATCTGGTTGGTCGAACTCCCAAGGGGACACTTTGCATATTAGGCTTTTTTTATTTTTTTAAATATATTTTATTGATTCTTTACAGAGAGGAAGGAGAAGGGATAGAGAGTTAGAATCATCGATGAGAGAGAAACATCGATCAGCTGCCTCCTGCACACCCCTCACTGGAGATGTGCCCACAACCAAGGTACATGCCCTTGACTGGAATCGAACCTGGGACCTTTCAGTCCGCAGGCCAACACTCTATCCACTGAGCCAAACCGGTTAGGGCAATATTAGGCTTGTATATATATAGATTATTCCATGTATCACATGATTCAGGTTTACCTTGAGGAGAAGAGAAAATATTTGCCCTGGACTTTGGGTCACTATAAAGCATCAGGTAGCAAGAGGGAAGCATTTGGGCTCCTAAGGTGGACTCAACTCTTGAGTGTAATTTTCTGGGTTAGAGTCCTCCTTCACTACAATCTTTGCTGTGTGACTTCAGGCAAGAGACTCGAACCTCTCCTGGCGTTAGTTTCCCCTTCTGAAAAGGATTAACCTCATAGGGTAGCTGTGGAGATAAAATGCTTTGATCAAACCCTTTGGCATAAGGGGAGGAGGAGATACTAGAAGAACTGACATTTACCAATATATAAATCCAGCTTTTAATCCTCACAACTGAATGCCGAAACTCTTAGGAATACAGTATCCCCATTTTAGAGATGAGGAAACTGAATCTTCAAGCTATCAGATGGAGAAGCGAGGATTAAGACACAAACCTCTTATCCATGATGCTCATAAATGTTTACTTGCATAGGTCTCTTGTCTTTTATAGGGAATTTCTGGCAAGCAAAATCAACAATAAAGCATATTACTATGCAAAGCACCTCGCCAGAAGAAATAGGTTAAGCAGATGGCCCCGGGGCATACTGGTTATTGTAGTTCAACAGTGACGCAGAGCCTGCTGGGAGTTGTAGTCCTCCTTGCTTACACTCTCTCAGAGAGGCTTTGCCCTCTCACCAGAGGTCACAGCCAGTCCCCAGTGCACGATTCTTCTAGGGCACCTAAGCCAGGTCTTAACTCTGAGGCAGTAGTTTCAGCTGATGAGAATAAGAGAGTCCAGCTTTATCAGACTTTTGGAAAGATTAGAATGGTTAATAGAACTAAAAAATTTAGAAAAGGGCTTGTTGCAGAGTGAATATTATAGAAGTACTAGAGGCCTGGCACACAAAATTTGTGCACGGTACGGTCCCTAGGCCTGGCCTGCAATCAGGGCCAGCTGCCAGCAGCCGGCCCCGTCCCCCTCTCCACCCGCCGCACCCCCTCCCCCCCCATCCCTGGTTCCTGGTTCACCATTGGATGATCGGATCCTGCTGGCCAGGGGAAGGGACCAAGAGGTTGGCTGGCAGCTCCTGCATTGAGCGTCTGCCCCCTGGTGGTCAGTGCACGTCATAGCGACCGGTCGTTCTGCCATTCCGTTGATTTGCATATTACCCTAGCATTATATAGGATTAGCTGCCATTTTTATTTAAACCTCAGTGATCCTTGAAAAGTAGCTATTATCATCTCCATTTTTCAGATGAGGAAAATGAGGCTTGGAGGAGTTAGATGGCTTTCCCAGAGTCACACAACAAGGAAGGAGTAAAATCAGATTTGGAATCCAGTTCTCTTAATCCTGGGGCACCTGCCTCTGTGGTGAGGGAGCTGGATGGTACCTGGGAGACTTTCAGCAAAACGTGCAGCTTGGTTGAATTGGGTAGCAGCAAGACTGGAGGTGGGGAGTCTGCAGAGATGTGTTGGACAGCACTGACTGTCAGTCCTCCAGTCACCATGTCCTTCCTGCTCTCAGAAGCTGGGTTTTGTTTAGGAGGCCAGAAGGTCCAGTGTCTAGGTGTGAGTCCAAGCCAATATTGGGCACTGCTATTTCCTTTTGCCATTAATTGATCCAATGGTGTGCCTGTGACCTTGTTCTTTCTGTTCAATGAGTTGGGGAGAGGGCATGTTTGGAAAGTTTTACTCCCCTGATACAGCCTTTTTTGCCCCCTTCCTCCTTCCTGTAATATGAGGTTGTGATGTTTGGGAGCTGGGATAATTGTGATGAAACCATGAGGCACAACCCTGAGGCCAAAAAGGTGACATATCGAAGATGCCAGCACAGAAAGGTGACAAGAGCTAGAACTTGGATGATGTAATTGAGCTGCTGAACAAACCCTGGGGCTGCCTACTTACAGGCTTCTTAGGACATGAGATCAGTGTTCTTATTGCTTAAGTTGCTCTTAAAAGTAAGTTTTTGTTGTGTATAGCCAAAGTATGCCTAATAGATACAGGAAGCTGGCACAGAGCTCCAGTCAAGAGATATATAGACATGGACTGTTCCACAGCATCGCTTCCAAAACACTGTTTGTTCTCAACAAGGTGGGAAAATGTTTGGGCAGTTTTGGAATCTCTGGGATGTGAAAGGCATGAATAGTTTTAAAAAGTATACTCAAAATTTAAAAAATTTTAAATTATAATATACTTTACAAAACCTACAGTATCCTCAAACTCTAATGTGCACACAAATCACTAGGAATCTTCTTAAAATGCAGATTCTGGTTCCATGCGGGTGGAGGTAGGGGTGTTGAGATTCTGTAGTTCTAACAAGCTCCCAGGGGATGCAGTGCTGACCCATAGAGCACACTTTGAGTAGCAAAGTTTTAGATAACATTATATGATTTTGTTTATATTTCCAATGTAAATATTTTTACATTGATTTTAGAGAGTGAGGAAGGAAGAAGGAGAGAGAAACATTGATCCTGCACACCGCCTACTAGGGTTTAGGCCAGCCATGGGCAAACTACAGCCCGCGGGCCGGATCCGGCCCGTTTGAAATGAATAAAACTAAAAAAAAAAAAAAAAAAAAAAGACCGTACCCTTTTATGTAATGATGTTTACTTTGAATTTATATTAGTTCACACAAACACTCCATCCATGCTTTTGTTCCGGCCCTCCGGTCCAGTTTAAGAACCCATTGTGGCCCTTGAGTCAAAAAGTTTGCCCACCCCTGGTTTAGGCCCACAACCTGGGCATTTCCCTGACTGGGAATCGAACCGGCGACCCTTTGGTGCAAGGAATGATACTCAATCACCTGAGCCACACCAGCCAGGGCTATATTTCCAATTTATAGTTAAGAAAAAAATCTCAACCTCATGCTATAGCTTTTATAATACAAACTACAGAAAG